ATTGGTTTTATTGTCATTGTGATTGTCTTACTGCCGATGACCTTGCGGGGGCGTTTTTTCCATCAAGTTTTGTTGATTTTTATATCCTGACCTCTCTAATCTGTGCACATCCGGGACCGTTTGGGTTGGAACACCGCGTTTGCTTGAAGTGCTGTGGCAGAGCGTGTTAGAAGTGCGCCCTCCAAAATGGTGGGCGGAGGAGTCGCCTTCAAGACACATGAAATCCTCTCCGCGCATGGAGAAAAGAGAGCGCCTTGATGTATAGCACGTCGCGTCCCGTGGGGCCCAAACGGTGTGCACGTGCATACACAGTCGTGTAGGCACAACCATGCTCAGTGCTGATGGGTGCACCATCTGAACATGCGCGAAACCAGATCCGTTGGGCGCACTTCGGAGATGGCAGTTAGTTGTCGACCCTCTCTTCTGCTCGACTTGTTTTACTATTTTTGTAGGGGGGGAACCTGTTAGCCGAGACAATACTGTATCCTACAAACAAACCCCTCCCACGGGCGTAGATCGGAGGGGGACGGGGTAAGCTTCCCCTCCCCCACTTGATTTCAAAACAGAGGCTTATGGCACCTCTACCAAGGTTTGTCCTCCTAAACTCCAAAAGGCCGTCCACGAAGAGAAGCCACGCAAAAATTCATCAGTTCACCTTAACACCTTCAAACAAGTCTTATGTACTTGTTTTGAATGAATGCGTTGAAATCACACTCGTTTATTTCTTCGCTAAAAAGGGGAGGAAAAGGCATACATGTAGGCGCTCCTGTGCTTATTACACCGGAGTTATCCACGTTAATGGAGGTCAGTTTACGCAACAATTATTGCAATCCCTTCTTTCTTAGAAAGAATGGTTCGCGTGCACTTTCTTGGTAGAATGTAGATAGCATGGCTACTTACTAAAGGATCTTCTTTGGAGACGTTTGAGGCCTGAAAGGCAGGCCAGGTTTATTAAAGGCTCGAGCCCAGGCAACCCGGTTAATCTCTATCACTCAGTTATCCGCACCGCTTACAGCGTGACGCATGGCAGAACTAATTCTAGTCGACAACCCTAATTAAGCGTCAAGTCTTGCCGAAATGTGGCTATACCTTTCCTTTCCCATCTGTTTATACCTCGTCTCTGGTAATGTGTGATCACATCGAAATATATAAAAGTCACTTTGAAAAACAAACAGTGACGGTTGAAATTAATAATTTGTGTGACTGTGGCTGCATGGTGCTTCGGCATCGGCGGTGTTTGGAAGCCATGGTACTGAAAGTTCACAAGCTCTGACTTGAGATTTCAGTCTTTTATGCTTAAATTTTCGCAGGCCTCTGACATCCATATCCATGGGGACAGTTGTTTCGCAGGTGGGGCAATGGAGAGCGCTTTCCCCCCTCCCCTGGAAAAAATGCAAACAAAAAGAGGGGAGGCAAAGCGAGGGAGGCGCTAAAAAGTGGAAAGGGGATGTATACGTCGGAGTAATATTAACCCCCTTCATTGTTTATATCAGTTTGTGGCTGATGAGTGCTTTAGCCCTGGAAAAAGTAGTCCTCTATCCCACACCCCCGAAAAATATTCTGTCAACGTCCATGAATACAGGTTCTAAAGAATGAAAGCGGGACCATTTTGTTTTGAGACTAACTGGAGAGATTGGCCCAAAGCCCGTGACATATTTTCTTGTTGCGTCGTGTCTTGAATAGGCCTACTATAACTCAGTTCATTGATCCAGAAGGTCCACATCAAGAAACGGAAAACAGGTCACTGTGTAACATCATTTACGTCACTCAGACGCCGCGCTTCACGTCATGTTTCACGTGCACAAGGAGACACGGAATGCTGCGTATCACTATAAGGGCACAAACCTTTCCTGTATATGGGGAATTCAAAGGAATAAAAAGCGCTGATGCTATTTATAAAATGCATACATTTAAAAAAAAAATAATGTGTTGGAATGGTGCAAATACCCACGTATAATGAGGACATTTGGTTGTAAAAAATAATAATAAGTTTCACGTCTGAGTCAGTTTATGCCAAAATGAGTTTGATACGCCAAATTCTTGTTTTCTGTTTTCATACCTCGGCTCCGTCAAACAACACTTACATCTCTTAAATGAAACACAGACTGGTAACAGCTTGTCAGAAAATGAGCAAAAATAAAAGTTGCCTTGCCAAAATCAAGTTATGGCATTTCCTGTCAAAATAGGCTACTTCAGGTGTTTACTTATGACTTAATGACTTGCGTGCCATTACGGTACATCCCTGTGCTGTATACGAAATGCTTCATGTGGTGCCCAATGCGCCTATACAGGTGCCAAGATATCGATGCCCCGACGGAACTCTCTGATGTACGCCTCTTGTACGGATGCATTTACATCCTCAATGCGTAGCAAAAAGTGAGCCAACAGACCTCCCAATACTGAAGCTACTATCGACTATTTTGATGGCCTGGCCATTTTAATTAGCCCCTCTATATAAACCCAATGCCAATTACTGCAGCAGACGAGCACCCTCTCCGTGCTGGTCTCCTTCTATACCACCGAACGTCCGCTCTGGGTCGGCGGGATCAACCGCAGCCGGCGCGCCGTTTGGCTCGGCCATCGATCGCACCAACTGCTCGACAAATTACTGCTAATTGCGGGGTCCCTCGAACCATCGATTGCGCACCGATAAATGTTTTTAATTACAACAGACCGGCAAGTACCTGTTCTATAACGTTATGTGATGTTCAGCCCCACTTTAAAATTTGTAATAGCATTGAAAGATGAAGTAAGAGTCTCAATAAAATGAAGCTACTCTACCACAAGGGGAAACTGACCATCATGGTTTTAATTGATTGGTTGGGCGAGAGAAGGTGAGTGAAGCAAGATTCGAACCGATGGGTTCTGGTGTTCCCAGGTCTCAGGTCCAAATCCCACCTCAGCCTATGTCTGTGTTCAATCTTAGCCTAAACTATTGACACACGGTTACCATAGTGACATAAAATTTAAAAAAAAACTTAAGTCGAAAGAATTCATTCTAAGGAGGGAAAATTGGTGCAAAAAAGGCACATTTAGAAACGACACTGAATTTCAATCTATCCATAACATCCATCCCTCGAAACAATAATGAGAACACTACACATTTCGAAAGTAATTATTTGCTTAAACGTTCCAAGAGATTGCACATCTCATCCATCCCTTCCTCCTAGGTTGCGCAACCCCCAAACTGTATTGAAACCAACAAAAGTCCAAGTACTCCATTTCCACGTTGTGATATCACCCGACCTGCGGAGGTCTGTCGGAACACAAATACTAAATCCCTGTACGACGCACACAGTCATTAATTCCTTTTATGTTTCTTATTTGAACTTGTTGGAGGACGCATGGTGCTCGAATTGACCTGTCTCTATGTATTTAAGTGCGTGTTTTTAATTTTCATTTTCAATGGTTGCTCAGCCATTTCTCTATGCTGTGTGTTCTTTCTCTCTTTATTCGCTGATTTGATTGTTTATTGTGTATATTTTCAACAACTACATGTTTTGGATGCCTCTGTTCAAGTATATTTCTATGCTGTTGGTAGCGATTTTGGATGCACATCTTCTGCTGACAGCTTGGATTTCTTTAACTTCCCATCGCCGGACAGCCCCTGCCAGCGATGATTTTCTTTTTTGTGTCCAAATATTTAAAGTGATTAAATAATAAAAGGTGAGTAAATTCAAGAAAGGGATAGACATATTAAACGAACAGGCGAGACAACGGATTGAACAAATCGAGAAAGGGTATTAGAGTGTTTGAAGGTGTAAGCAACCAGCCAAAGCACTTACCCAGAAAGGAGATCAACAAACGACGAACAGTGATGATGGACACGCGTTCTCCCACGTCAAATCACCGTGGCGCTGCATGCTGCGCTCGAGGGGGTACGCTGACAGGGGCTCGGCCCGGTGAGCGCGGTTTTCGGGTATGGACCTCGCTCCCGCAAATGGACCGGGTGTGAAAAATCCTGGGACGATTAGAGACCGCTGTGCGACCCAAGAATGATGGGCCGTTAATCCTTAGCTTTCGTCGGGCCGTTTACTCTTGATCCTTGGCTCAGCGATTTCTAGAGAGGTTTAGTTTGAAGAAGTATTACGTTTCCCTTCTCTTATGTATGCACGTGTTTATATCCATGCCAGAGTATGGCGACCAGTACCCTCCAAGGACGGACCAAAACCCAAATTTCCGGAGGGAGGGTGGCAATCTTGCAGGCGCGAAATTTGGAAATACCTTTCATGTAACGTTTAATGGCTTTTTGGAAGGGTGAGGCTACATTTGGGAAACTTTTTACACTCTCTTTGAAAGGTGTAAAATTAAACAGACCAAACAAATCACCTTTTTCTCATTAATAAGAAAATATTTGGCTCCCTTTTTGGAGGGTACGGCCCCCGTTGACCTGGGGACCCCGGACACGCCCTTAGTTCCCTCCATATGACACATTCTTATTCCAAAAGATTCGACTTATTCAACTCTTTACACTTAGTGCCTAACACAGATCTTTCTCTCGTCGGATGTCAAGTACAGTGGTATGTGCTCCTGTGTACCGAATCGACACCGTACACTTCGATCGGCGCTAAATTAAATCTGTTCGCCACAGCGCGTCAAATATGTCGGTCTCATGTCATATCGAATGTCGCCGAAGCGTATTATGATGACCGACTCGGGAAGAATTTACCCAGTATTGAGCAAATTCCTTTCAACGCGTCCCATTGTGACGGCGAGCATACATATTTGCTCAGTATAATAACCCCAAACGCCTCTCTCCGCCGCGGGCGTCGGGATACACTATCCTACACATAACCCCACCAATATGCTACAGTATCGCTTGCCGCAGACCCACTGTTTGCTCAGTTCTATAGCACATGCACTTTTCCGTGTCTGGGTGTTTCCTGCGTAAATAATTCCATCTGGGCACTGAAAATGTATACATTCACTTATACGAATCTCTCAAAGTGTATGGACATTTCTGGCTCACCTGAGGTGGGCACTTTTAAGGGGTTCCAGTTTACAACCCTTCATAGTTGTCAAAAGCGCATGCAGTCAGGGCGGATGGAGATGATGGTCGATAGATACAGCATGTTGATTAATCAATCAGGTATCGCTCTCAAGACACGTGCAGCAGTAAACAAATAGACATCTCACATGCTGACAAATTCATGATAAAAGTTTTTGCGGGATGCGATGAAGTTGAGTAGGTTTAGCATTTCATGTCCTCTGTTTTGAAATCATTTTAATCGCTAAATTTGCAAAACTCTTGATAACCATATTTCACTAGAAATGTAGGTGGTGTGTTGAACACACATGAAATGTTTAGATAGTATCTTAGAATTACTGTGAGGCAAATAATGCCATCCACGGAGGAAAAAGTGAAACATTCAGGCTTATCGAAATTTTAAAAACATATACGTGAACAACGTACAAATCAGCAGCGGCTTCAGGTCTTTTAATCTTTCTTAAAGGAGTGGTGATGAAGAAGACAAAATTTTAATTACCAACCATCCTCTCAAAGTCGCCTAACGAAGCCACGTCTTGTCACCCGATTCGGCCCTTTTTTCATCAGGACAATGAAATTGCCCTCGTAGGCATGTGCTTCTCAGAACACAGGGGTCGCATTTTCCAAGTCGATGATGGAAAACTCAATTCACACCGAACTTTGACCTTTAGGCCTACAGAATGTTCTTTTGAACAATCATACTATTGCGGACGACGCCGGCTTCTGGCAGATTTTCCGATTCTTTGTTCTATGGTGAATATCGCTTGTTTCTTTGCAATGAGGGCTCATGTCAGAGATGTCGTGTGTGGATTCATTTGCCAATGGGCCCAAACCTCTTTCAGGTTTTTTTTCGGATTGTTTTTCAATTACAAATTGGACTGACGTCTTTGTTGAAGTTATGTCGAACTGTAGCTTAGTTGTCAAAAGTTAATAAGGAAATAAAATATCCATTGATAAGGTGTGCACCGAAATTCAACCTCAATCAAGTTTAGGTCATGTGAGGTGTGATGGGGTTCTGTTTGTAAGCGTTTACACTGTAAAAACAAGTATTAATGTTTTATGGCCTTTAGACCCTGCCCTTTACGAACACTTTATGAACGAGTTGTGGTGCCAATGATCCAAAGCAGAAGACGTTGTGGTGTTTATTTTTAAAGAACTACGTTTTGATGTGTTATAAATTTAGACACAATGACACATTTGGGTGTAGACTTTAAATCAAGTCGTTAGTCGGTCGTGTTTTTCGTCCAGTACAATATGAGCCAGCGTGCTGCGTCGTTTTACAATTAGTGCTGAGCCTGTTCACCGTTGCCCGCGATCCGGCGTGCAGTGCTGATTCAGTCCAGACACGGCGCATGGTCGTGGGCTACTCAGTACCGGGTTTCGATGCGCACCTGACGACTTGATCGATCAACCTGATTATGGATGGTATTCGTGTTGCAACAACTACACTACATATCCATACGTTTCCATGGAGCGCGCCAATCGTAGCTCACACTACATAACATACTCATCCTAAGGATTAGTATCTTTGATTAGTGCCAGTTTCTTTCATATCTTCCATTAATATCCCTTTTGATACGATGCTTAAAGACAAAGTACGCGTATTTCCAAGAACAAATCTATTAACTACCTTTTTTGGTAGAAAAACCCCGATGCTTTTATGGTAAATCATCTTTTTAGAATAAAGTAAACACCCTCTTCAACAAGACTGTGGTTGCTAATGAACGTTCAGCTGACCAATCAAACTGCCCCTTAAATAAATATTCATGTAATCGGGATTCTGCTCTGTCCAATTCTGTTAGCAAGCCCCATATGTTATACACAAAAGGGCTTGCAAATTGTTCAAGTCGGTAATCGGGCGCTACCTAACACGCATATTAGGGAGCGAGGTTGCACTGACCGAACGTTCCCGCGTGTTATTAAAAACTGCACTCCGAACCGCACCGCGAACGCATCCCTAGGAAGGTGGACCACACTCGGCCAATTCCCAACTTGATTTCAAGTCTAATTTGACACCAAAACACGTTTATTGGGTGGCAACACTTTCTGAATACCGAAACAAATTTCCATCAGTCTTTTTTTTTTATCGGATACATGTTTACATTTAAAGCAAAAACGCGTTTATAATAGGCGTTGGATTTCATACCGTATCTTCAAGGAGATTTGGCACCAAGGTGGAAAGATTAGCCGTCATCCAAGTCTGTGCCATAAGCGAACTCTTGTACTTCTATCGAAAAGGTCGTTACTGAGTGTTGATGCAATTGGCCGGGTGTGCATAAGTGTCAACCTCGTCCTCGTGAGCAAACGCTGCTGTATCACTGTAGTCCAGGTTGACATAACTGCTTGCTTTAGGCTGGAAAACGTGAAGAACCCTGGGACGAAAGTTATTACATGTATTACAAAATTACTTCAATCTGTAAATAAGTTGGCACAAGAGGGCGCCACAGCATTTTGAGAAAGTAGAGGGTTTTTAATCATCAGATAAATACGAGAACAAACGTTCCTTTCAATAAAACAGGAGGGAACCACTTATTTCTATTTTGGCTCCACAAAGCTTGCTCCCCATTGACTGCCCGCATGCTCTGTCACGCGCCCTCAACTTCACGCCTGACGGACAGCGATAATGAAATGCTATTTTCAATTACACATTCTTTGTCGACCACGGGTGACGTGGTTTGAGGCCACGGGTGATTAGGATCAGGGGCGATTTCCAGGGGTGAACTTTTCCGTCCGGAACATGATAAAATTAAATTCTGATTGACGACTGGCATTAATTCTATACTGCTGAAATGTTCAAAAGCGTGAAACTAAAGACACTTGTCAAATAACTCGATGCGCGCTGCCTGGCTTCGTCTATACACAAACTAAGGCTTCATGAATGAGAACCACAGAGGTTTACGTTATGTCCGTACTTACAAATTGATTATAATAGGCAGTATCAGTATGCCAGCTCCCGTGTAGTACGTGACTGTAGGCTGAGGATTGTATTCTTTGTTAAGCTCAAGTTTCAGGATGCCGTTGAGTAATATGGGCGAGACGAACCGAGCTAAGCTGATCACTACGGCCACACATCCAAACACAGCACCTGAAATTATATTATACATATGGAGGAATTCCAAGTGAGGCTTCAATGTCAGTGCAATTTTGCCCTGATAAATATGGCTCTAATTTTAGGATTAGGCCTAATAGCACTGACGTTAATGACAGTGATTAGCGTGACGGTAAAAAGGATGTGATTGCCAAGGCATCGGTGACGTCGATGTTTCAAGCTGCTATCAATTACCGCATTGATGAAGCATAGCCTCGCGTAAGCCTATGTTGCTCACGGCTCGAGGTTTGCGTTCGCACGAGGGCGGTATTCCGAAAAGGAAACAGCCCGAGTCCATTGACAAAGAGGGGGTAAGCATGGCAGTGGTATCTCAAACAAACTACTATAGAGAATCATTACCTTGTTCTTTGTCGTCAACTTGTTCCGAGATTTTGGTTTTCACGATCGGCAAGGGAACAAGGTAGAACATGCCAATGACAGGAGCTGTTTAGGTCGGAAAAGCAGGAAAAGTCGCCTTTATCTTATTTTACAAGATTTTATTTTGAGCGGACCAAGCACGAGTGTCGTTCTTAAGGACGGTGGTAACACCCCTATGCCAGGCACGACTCTATGGGACAGGGGGTCCCCCCCCACAAGTCTAATCCCTATACACGCTCCAGCCTAGTGTCACTTAACACCCCCTCCCCAAGATGTCTGAAAAGAATTCCTGAGATACTAGTATAACAATGACCAACACAAAGGCCGGGTGTTCTCTCTGTCCCATAGTTTGCATCAAATGAACACCCCAACACACATATTTTCACTGCCTGCCTAGTGTAGACATTCCTTTATTTTCGTGTGGTTTGAAATACTCAATTTTCTTGCATCGTGAGCACTCTTTTGAGCTGGATTTCTGTCTCTTAAATTCCAACGAAAACTGTAAATGGTGTACATATGATGCAAGATATGGGGCGGAGAGACCCCCCCCCGCCTTTTGTTGGTCATTGTTTGATAGGAATCTCAGAAATTCTTTACAGACTTCTAGGGGGATGTGCTTGGTAACAATAGTCTAGAGTGTATAGGGATTGGACGTGTGGGGGGTACCCATTGGCCACATATCGTGCACAATATCATGGCGTAACCTCGTGTGGACCAGGCCAAGTCCACACAAGGCTTGCCGATTGTGTGGACCGCCTTTATTCACCAGTCCAAGCCATGCAAGGTTAGCACACACTTTTGTGAGTTCTTATTTTTAATTTCACAGAAAACGCCTTGCTGTGTGCCGGCCAGAGTTTCCGACCAACTTCTCCTACTTTTGAGAAATGACACCCATAAGCATTCGGTAGTGTAAGCTTGCAACTCAGAAGACATTTTCATGGTATTTAACCATTTACTAAATCGTCATCTTTAATTGGTTTAAGTAGCGAGGTACCGTACTCTAAACTTTACGTAAACTTGGGTTAACTCGGATGTGCTAAATCAAAGATGGACGTGGCCAGTCATGCAAACAGAGCACAAGGAAGAGGAACAGTCAAGAAAACCTTCAACAGAAATCCAGCTCAAAAGAGTGTTCAAACAAAGTTTGGATGACTATACTTCATCGCAGGGAAAGCAATCCCGTGGGGACGGGGGAACGTCCTCCCACGTATTTGGTGGAGGGGACGGGTATGACAATGTTCCCCGGTAATTTTGCCCTTGTTACATAGATTTCTGTAGTCACTGTCTTGTACATCTCAAAGATCAAACCAAATTGGCGATTTTGTTTTTCCAGGAGTAGACCCTTAGAAGTCAAAACACTGATTGCAAAATGTCTCTGAATCGAGACATATTTTGAGCATTCCCAGTATATACCTGATCTATGCATCTCCTGGTTGAGAACAATAACAATTAGTGATGTTTTGTATAATAAAGGGCATCGCACTTTTTCAATGATAGGCTTTATTGGGTTTTTGCTTTTCCCCCATCTCCTAGCTTTAAGTAGAAATCGCTGTCGCTGCTTTACAGGAACAGTCTGAGTGTTCGACTCACCTAGGAAGGCCAGCCAGAGCGTTGTAGGCGCCAGTGCCGTAGTTATCATGTAGCCGATGCCGGATATAAAACCGATGTACACCATCCAGTATGAAGACATGCAAAGCCGAAACACTGGTACTGCGACAATAGCGACTGAAAAAGGGAAGAAATCAAAGACTTGAAAGGCATTTTTGCCCTCTTTTTCTGAAAAAAAGTATGGATTAAAGCACGGTGAAGAAACGATTGCAATCAACTCTCAGAATACTAGGGCTGATGTGATCGTATCTGACGTATTTTCGACCGATCCTTTTTGTTTAGCCATCTTTTGATGTCAAGCCGAGTCCGAGACGGGCATAGTTAGAAAACTAGGCCTATGGCTATTCAACGTAGCACGCTAATGGTAAAAGAAGTCGCTGACACAGCATACCACACTTTGGACACGATTGACAGTTAATGTAGCAAACTGCAAACGATTGACAGGTACTAAAGATCTGTTACAGGCTAAGTGGTGGGAAGCTGATGTGCATCTTTTTGTCCCACCATTCAACGGACGCTTTACTTACCAACTGCTGTCAGACCGTTGATGATGGCACCGTACGCTCCCACGATCTGAGGCGTCCAACAGAAAGGTGGAGACAGGCCATAGATGGTGATGTTACCCCCGGCACTGCCAAACACGAGGGTCCACAGGCAAGCACTGGCAAGGAGGAGCACCAGGCGCCACCTACGTCCAGCGTGGGAACTACTGAAGAGGGACATGATGTTCATGACCAGCTCCTTGATCACTCCTCGAGGAAACGGTCTCCGTTTCACCGTCTCCAAGACAAAGAACGGGACGACGGTGTACAGGAGGTTGGCGAGAGCTATGCCTACGGTTATGGAGTAAACGAGGATGAAATCGATACCCGTAGACTGGAGAATTTCGCCAATGGCGAACTGGATGATGCCATAAGACAACTGGATGATGCCATCTAACATGACCAGGCGGAATGTGCGAGCTTTACCCACGTAGATGTCGGCCACGTAGGCTTCGGCTATGATGGCAGTGAAGACGGCATCGCCAGCCAAGCCAAGCATGGCTTCCCCTACGATGAGCAACGGGAGCGGCAGCTTGAAGATGGCGATCACAAGAAACACTGCCGATCCCAAGAAGTGTCCGGTGGCGTTGATGATGAACATGGGTCTCCTCCCGACAAAATCACTGGCTGCGCCGAGCACTAGGGCCACAACTATCGGTGGAAAGACCGACATATCCTTCATCCAAGTCACCCAGGTTGATGTTTGGTCCTCGATATACTTATCAGTGGGGTCCTGACTGGCGCAGCTGTTCTGACTTGTCGGGAGGGTGTAGTTGTATTCATCAGCTAGCCGATGCTCGATGTACTGGGATCGTAAAGTGACGAGCGCGCCCTGGACGCAGTCGATGAAGATCAGGATAGGTTCCACTGTCAGGCAGCGCCTGGAGGCCCGATGAAAGTTGGCGTGTTTGTCCTCCATCTTAACTGAGGTCCTCTGGCGCCATGTAAGCGGTGTTAAATTCTAACCTTCACAACGAGAAAGAAGGTAGAAAAATTGCGTTATTGACAATGCTTGGCAATATCAAAGAGCTTTCGATATTGGGGAATGCGTTTGCTTCATAGGCGGAAACACTTACAACACGTTTGCATGAATGCGAAGAACTACTTTAAACAGCCAAGGGCAAATGAACGCCAGACTTGGGGTTTGTAGACTAAGTTTAAAAGGAAACACAAATCAGTATTTCTGAAAAATAAAGTACTTGACAGTGTTGCACAATAAAACGATTGTGAAAACAGATAATTGAGCCTAGGCTATACTGTTATTCTCGAGAACACTTTGATGCTAGAGGTTAGTAACATGACAATGGAGATAATTGGGTGTGCAACACGTGCCGGGTGGTCCCTTTGGTGCATTTAATCACGTGCTTTCTCATTGTTTACCTAATGCCGTGGACATTAGCCAACTACAAGATAGGGTGGAAGTTCAAGTACCGAACAGGTACCGGTAAATATCGTTGGCCGTGTATTTGCTTCCAGATTCGGAGATAAGCATTGATCAGCGGCGTCTACATGTCTTGCATCAGCTGCAAATTGACAGAGGCACCTGTGTATAGCTGGGTATAATATGGGTCAAAAAGCATGCCACAACCAAGAATGGGGACGAGGAGTGTGTCTGTGACGAAATTCTACATTCTTTGAGATAGCTATCACAAGTACAGTTTCATCGACCGTGGTATTCAATTGGTGATTAAATCACACCCTCGACATCTATCCATCTACCCTTGGACTAGTGTTGTCTATGGATGCTAATGGTGTTTAATTTACACTTAAGTTGTTGCAGTCAAGGAAGGTTCCACCCCTAAGGTTTTGTTGGGGCCAAACGGGTTTTGAGGGACCAAAAAGTTTATGTTTTAACGTAGCATTTTGTAACCTTTCCAAGGAGTGAGAATACATTTTAGGGCTTTTTACATGTTTGTTGAAGTAAAGGAAATATAATGGAAAATATTGCCTTTCATTACTGAAAAGGTGCTCCTTTTGGGGGGGGGGGGCAGAGCCCCTGTTGTCCCTCCTGATCCGCCTTTGCTACCGGTACAGCGCGGCGACATTGGTGACCAGTGACTGCGGCACAATAGTCCGCGGTTTATTTAGGCCGCTATGCTCGCGGGACACCTGGCGTTCGAATTTACCGCTGTGTTGTAACTACATGTACATAAAGTCCACGTTTTGAACCTCACTGATGCAGTTCAGTGAACAGCAGAGGTGGATGCCCTTGTGTCTTTCAGAATTGGCACATTACCTTTATCTTCGCCTTCAGGAGGAGAGTGAACCGATGGAGACGGTATCACAAGAGATACCGTCACTTTGACAAGAGCTTGTGCAGTTTTGGTACGGTATCGTTCGACTCGGCCGCTTTTTGATTCATGATTGCCATATTCATCATTGAAGTCACTTCCTAAAGACCCTTATTTAACTTTATTTCAATGGTGCGTACACGGCTTTATGTAATGGCGTGGCAGGGGCGCCACGGGTTCACATGCCCCTAACCCAGAGCGTGTGGAGCTGTTCCGAGATGAGTGTCTCAACTGTTGGAACCAAAATGGTGGATTATGCGTCAGTGCACATGTGCAGTAGCATCGAAACAATAGCTGCATAGTGTACTGCCAGTTTGGTTCCAAAGTCTGAAGTTGCCGCTACTTTCTGGCCAGCTTAAAATTTCGAAAAGACGGAAGAGGAATTCTATTTGGTTGAAACCAAACAACTGAACTCAGTAGGTGGCAGAGGCGTAGCCACGGGGGCCTGGGGGCACGTGCCCCCCCCCCCCTTCTGAAAAAATACGTATGGATGGATATTGAACAAGACTAACAAAAACTTGCCCCGAAAAAACCACACCACTGAAAGCTGGTGATCCTGCCATAAGATGCTGGTGCCCCCTTTGTGACCCCCACTATTAAAATCCTAGCTACGCCACTGGTAGGTGGTCTATCTCTTAAAAACAAAGCCCCATGAGGGGGCAAGTTATCCAACACATATTGCCATCTCCTGACCCAAAACTTGGATACGCCATGTCCTTGTTCTCCCCTCAAATTAAGCGCTGGGATCTCGCCGTAAGGCTGTCGGGTAATGATTGTGTTTCTGGTGATGTAAAAATTTACCTACACTATGCAGAAACAATAAAACACACTCTTCACTCCACCTAATTCTCTGTTGAATACTCTCCGAATTTCTGTTCCATTTTTACCAGGAAATAAATACAAGTCATGTAAGAATAAATTTCTATAAATCTGGACAGTTATTGCATGGTGCCCAGATATTTCACTGCTAATCGAATTGACATAGGCCTTACATATGAACACAGGGTATAGAAAATTGAAGTGATTTTTTCGATCTTATCAGCTTAAAACCTAACTAAACGATAAAGGGTATGCACATCAAGGTGAAGCTTTAGTGGATGCTATATTATTCTTAATTTGAACGTTGTATCAAAATAACTCGCAACTGCCAAGTAGAAATGAAAATTAGCCTGCTGCTGCCGAGGCTCGACCAATTTAATAAAAGATTACTCGCAACCTGCCGAGATTATAAATTAAATGTTACCGTCAAATTGTAGACAAGGTAGCTAGGACTCGGCTACGTGGACCCGTCAGCTGTGAGGGGCAAACGCCACCGAACCAGTTTTCGAAGCCCACGCATCCGTGAAGGACAAAACTTCGACATAAGTATGAAGGACTTCGTTGCCTTAGCGCAGTCGTCGTGAGGAGAGAGTGGGGGCTTTGTTGTGGTTGTTTTGTTTTAATGGCGCTTTCAGCAACTCAGGCTATTTGCGCCAATAACTGTACGTTTATTCATACACTTTATTAATCAGCATCACAATTACGGAATTAGGAAGAAGGTCCGGTTTTAGAGGCAGGAGGAAACCGAAGTGCCCGGAGAAAACCTGCGAGAGCGAGTATGGACTGGAAACCAAATGCACTTAAACCTTGGGCCAAGCCGGGACTCGAACCCGGGCCTCATTGTTGCAAAGCGAGGAAAGAACCGCTACGCCCCCTAGGCTGTTTTGTCCACGCCGAACCTTTTATGAACGCGTTACGCACCAAGGGTTGCGGAGAAAAGGACATGGTTCCACCTACTATAGTTAGGCTTTTTATTAAACAACCACCTGGACGCATGCTTGGGCCAATTAGAAACAAAATGAAGGAATGCACTACAAAGCGCTAACCTTTTAAATCAAGCATGCCGAACTTGATTTACTCGGCGACCTAAAGACTAATTATTCTTCATTTTTGGTCAATTTATTACTGTTCTTTACTATCCTATTTAGACTTTTTCCCGACTTTAACGGAAGTTATATGTAAACTAATCTTTAATCTACATAAAATCTTTAAAAAGATTCTTTATAACTGAAGTTACATTAATTTAAACAGGAGTCAATAAATTATCCAAAATCAATAAACGATAATTCAGCCATTTATGGCGCTCCATGCTCAATCGTCACACACCCATCCTCATCAACGCAATGGTGAATATGTTTTGTTGTTTTCTTCTATTTCAGATTATACTTTTAAGTTAGCGCAAAGTTTAAAACAATTCAGTATGGCCAATAATTCTGCGAATTTCAGACAAAAATACAGGAAAATACGTCATTCATAAATAGCCTCATTTTCATAAAGCCCAACGCCTCTCTTTTTGTCCCTCCATCGCTAAAATGCCAAGGAAATCTTTAACACACCCTCTTAAGATTTTGCCGGCAAACCCACACACGATGCCCTCCCTATACACCAATGCCCTGTTAAACTGCCCAGAAAAAGTTCCGGCCATGGTCAAAATTGAGACTTTGGATGTGGCAAAGGAATGCATAATCCATTCAGATCATAGCTAGTGACTTGGCTTTTGACGGGATGACCTGTAAGTTATGATGGACTTCCGATGAACTCGAATGCAACGTTTCTTTTGATTCATCGGCTCGACAGAGGATGCCGGAAAACAACCCCGGCATATATGACTTAGGTATCTTTTCGCAACAGGTGGCCTGACAGGGATTCGAATTACAAATAATTATCACACAATTATAGGATGTTTACCGGGACTTCCTGGGAATTGCGGGATACAGTGCGCAAAAAAAAAATCGTAACAGCAAAATCGCAAAGAAAACTCTAGAGTTCCACGGAGTTTGGCATACTTCTGTGACCGTGTACATGTTGGAGTTTCGTTATTTTTGCCCTCCCTGTCGGTAAACTGTTTTAACAAATGTAACAAATGAACAAAAATTACTTGTATAAAATTTATTTAAGATGCCATCAAAGAGTGACACGACCCTCCCCCCAAAAAAACTTTCGTAGCTTCAGATAAACGACTAAAAGCTCCAAACGGTTCTATAGATTTTCTTGGAGGGGTTCCGCGAAAATAGCGACGATTTAAGTGCAGAATATGGTCTTAACCTCCAGCGGGAGCAGAAATTGTTGGGTCGATTGTCGGGAACCCCTTCTCAATGCGAAAAGAGCACCCACGTACAGAGAGTTTGCCAGTTACGAAGAATCGAAGTCAGACGCGTGGGCAAGGCTACTCTGGCTTGTCTTTCTCGGTGGGGTTGAATCCGTTCTCAACAGCACAGGAAACAGTCTCATCCAGCTGCTTGAAGTTAATGTCCTTCGGCTGGAAGATGTGCAAGATTCTTTGGAAGAAGAGGGTTCAAAAATTGAAAGAATAACTATCTTGCTTGTGTGCTTAAAGACAAATCGGAGAACCGATCATTGGTGGCATGCGCACGTTCACGTTCTTAAACCTGGTACAGTCACATGTAACGCGCTTGCACCTCATCAGCGTGTTTCCCGCGCAGTAATGGCTTCATATACCTGTCGCCTAGTAATTGGTCGATACTTTGGGAATAAATGTCATAAAGGGCTAAAGTCGAGTTTCTCAATAGTTTCAGTCGTTTTCCAGTTTAAGAATTACGACTTGTCACTCAAACTTCGAACTTTTTGCCAGCACATTTTCTGATTGTTCACGATCGAGTAAACAGGAGGAAGTACAAGTCTTGGCGAGTTTAGGCCCTACCACCACTTTTTTGGAGACAACATTTTTCATTCACTCGGAACAGTGTGAACAGCATAAGGCCACAATGATCATTTCACCAAAAAAAATCATGACTTGCCGTTAGTGTTTCCAATATTGGCAATAAGATGCAATTACGGATCAGAACTTAGAAACATTAACCGTAAACGTAGAGGCTTACACATTGATCGTTATGGGTAGCAAGAGGATACCAGCGGCCATGTAGTACGTGACGGTAGGGTGTTGGTCCCCTTTGGGCTTGTTCAGCTCTAGCTTCAGCACGCCCATGAGTAAGATGGGCGACAGGAAACGGGCCAGGCTGATCACCACGGCTAAACATCCAAAGACAGCACCTGGGGTGTCGGCAGACAAGAAGATGGCGTTAAGAACGAGTTGTCACCATCTTTGGCAACCTTCACCAATCACAATTATCCTCATTACTAGAGCACCGGCTATTCTTACCTTCCCAAACTACCCTCATGGTACCCAAATCAACCTCTACCCAAATCGCCACCTAAATGAACAACTGCCAAATCCCCTATACACACCATAATTAATACCAACAACAACGCACCGGTATTAAACCATCAGTACAGCCGGGATTGCAATTACTCCCATCAGTATAGCTGGTGTATAAACAACAAAATCAAACCACCTTCTCTAGCAATCGAGGAGGGCCTGATTGTCCTAGCAACCCTGCAATCCACTCTAAGGAAAGACTCATCCACCTGAATGATGATATACCTTGTTCCTTGTCGTCTACTTGCTCCGACAGTTTGGCTTTTACGATCGGCAGGGGTACCAGCAGGAACATACCTATCGTGGGGGCTGTTGGGAAAACAGGCAAATAAATAAGAAAATGAAAAAGAAATCCAAAGATAAATCAATTCCTTGCCAATAGGAATTGTAAATTGGTCGTCTTTCAAGGCGTGACAGTTTTACACCATTCAAATGTATACCTGTACAAGTTGCTCAAACAGCTCACGTAAAATAGGCTTTACTGGCGACAGGACTGATACTACGGTTGCTAAAGGTTGCACAAGATAATGCTTATCAAAATACACTATTTGGCTCTCAAGGCACGTGCCCTCGTCGAGGCAATTGGACATTATGCCTCGAGTATCGATGGTGAAAGGTTGATCACACCAACTTTGTGTCAAAAGTTTGCTCCGTGAAACAGTAGCTAGTAGATGCATTTTGGAGAGGATTAAACATAGAAGACAAGATTCCTTGACAGTTTAAAACAAAAGTATGTAGTCCTTCAACTTTTGGCCGATATTTGGAATACATTTCACTGAAACAGTGTTTATTTTATTTCGTTTTTGTTGGATTTTTAAAGGACAGAATTGCGTCTATAGTCCTTCCAGGCCCCGCCCTTACCCCTGATGCCAGAATCGCTCGTTGGTAATCTTTTTTTCACCAGAATAATTCACGTGAGCAATTTTGTCCGCAACGATCCAGTCACGTTTTGAAATAGAGTGACTTCTTTTCAGATGACAGGTTGTATTTTGAGGCAAAGCACAGCCGGTCTCCCTCTACTTAAAAACAAATATTCTCTCTGTCGGCTTCGGAAATTCTCAGTGAGTGTCATTGCGACGTTGTTGTAACACCTGTGCATTTTTTTCTTAATACAGTGTATTTCTGCAAATATGGGAGACCTATTTGAGAACCGATTTTTATTTAATCCCAAAAAATCCCATTGAAAATATCCAGCAAGTGATGGGAATTTTTCGGAATTAGACAAGGCTTGCTGTAAACTTTGAAGGGTGGTTTTATGCAAAGTGAGGATTTAATCAGGCGTTGTACAACGCAAATAGTGAATGTTTATAAATACAATGGATGGAATATCATTCGGCGACGGATTGAATGCTGTCTTCAATTCCATTTGGCTTCTCCTCGTGGAATCGAGCATTTTATCCGTCACCTCATGGAGAATTATTCTTACCATTCCACTCGTAAAAGAGTCATCATTTACAGACTGGCATTCGTCATTTTGACATACTGACGTGCATTACACATTTGTAGGGTGTACTCACATAAAAGTCGCAATCGTGAATGGGGGCACCGGTGGAAAGGGGCACTTGTAAAAAATAAGTGTGGTTAAAAAACTATATCTCAGAATGTTCAGTTGTTTATCCTCGTGGGAGAGCAGTGGAGGCAGATGTCCCTCCCCAACAATCCCAAAGCATGTTGCCAATTTGTTAATTGCCAATATTTTAGAAACGGTACAGTCACTGCACCTAGTCACTCTCTGCACGTAGAACCGTGAATAGGTCCATCTAAATTTTAGGACCAGTTGCCAGCCCAAATTAATGTCGCGTGACTGTTTTTGATTAAGCTTATTTTGACGTCCAAATATGTTCATTGTTTACATAGAAAAGTTTCTTTTTTTAGTATTTGTATTAGCCAGCCTTGATGACAAACTAAAATAGTTCGTCTTTATTAAAGACTACCAGCCGAATTAACTACCACTGTTATTTCACACAAATAACTCATGTGACCTGATTGTAACACCTTAGTAGGTCCGTTCAACTCTTAACGTACCCAGGAAGGCCAGCCAGAGCGTTGTAGGCGCCAGTGCCGTGGTTATCATGTAGCCGATGCCGGATATAAAACCGATGTACACCATCCAGTATGAAGACATGCAAAGCCGAAACACTGGTACCGCGACAATAGCGACTGCAGACACCGAAAAGAGAATGGATTAGAGATTGAGTAAAACCCATCGCTCTTAGCGGGGTAGAATGGCAAACAAGAACATCTTGAAACTTATTTCGTGCTGTACTGGATGATGTTCTTTTTTTTTTTAATGAAAAGTTGTGCTAGGGTATAGCACGTCCTGCTCGACGGGTGATTCACAATAGTGCGCCTCCAACAGTTTGCAACGCGTTGGCCAATCATAACGCGTGAAATCCGTCGACCCTTTCCAAACGCGCATTGGGTCGACATATTTCGCGCACTGTCATTGGCCAACGCGTTGCAAACTCTTGGAAGCGCACTATTGTGAATTGCCCGTATTGAGGAAAAAACAATACTTCAAGCAGTACAAAAAGATGCACAACATAATTTCTAATCAAAGGCTACCATGGGTGACGCAAACAGAAACTAAATACGGGAAACCATAGCTCAGCAGTGAAGGAGTATGTCAGAACAGCATGAGAATCACTCATTCTTTGGGGGCGGGGCTGGAAAACACCTCAAGGGTGTCAAAAGGCCACTAAAAATTTAACGTGTCAGATACATGTATGTCCAAATAAATTATGTCCAACGGTAGGAATGAGTGCATCGTGAGTGTCTTGCCTGGTTACGTCGATGTTCATGATTAGAATTTGAGCTCAACTATTCTCGACTTCATTTCATTGCACCAAAATCAAAATTGTTATCAAACCTGTTTCCAGGGCAAGTATGCAACTGTAACCCGATAATCCATGATTATCGGGCCCCGGTAGCTAGAAGTATTAAATATGAATATTTTAGAAAAGAATTTTTGGTTAGCCGTCGAACCAGACTGAATATCTAAGTGACCTCACCTATTGCTGGTAGCACGTTAATGATGGCGCCGTATGCACCCACAATCTCTGGCGTCCAACAGAAGGGTGGAGACAGTCCATAGATGGTGATGTTGCCTCCAGCTGCTTCGAAGATTAACGTCCAGAGGCAAGCGTTAGCAAGCAGCAGTGAGAGACTCCACCTACGTCCAGCGTGGGAACTACTGAAGAGAGACAGGATGTTCATGATCAACTCCTTGATCACTCCTCGAGGAAACGGTCTCCGTTTCACCGTCTCCAAGACGAGGCCCGGAGTGATGGTATACAGGAGATTAACAAAGGCCATCCCAGCGGTGATGCCGTAAACGATAATGAAGTTGATGCACGTTGTCTGCAGGATCTCTCCAATGATAAACTGGATGATTCCAAAGGAAAACAGGATGACAGCGTCAATGATGACCAGACGGAATGTACGGGCTTTACCCGAATAGATATCGGCCACGTACGCTTCGGCTATGATGGCAGTGAAGACGGCATCGCCAGCCAAGCCAAGCATGGCCTCTCCTACGATGAGCAACGGGAGCGGCAGCTTGAAGATGGCGATAAACAGAAACAATGTCGATCCCAAGAAGTGTCCAGCTGCGTTGATGATGAACATGGGTCTCCTCCCGACAAAATCACTGGCCGCCCCGAGCACTAGGGCCACAACTATCGGCGGAAAGACCGACATATCCTTCATATATGTCACCCAGGTTGATGTTTGGTCCTCGATATACTTGTCAGTCGGATCCTGACTGGCGCAGCTGTTCTGACCAGTCGGGAGAGTGTAGTTATATTCATCAGCCAGGCGATGCTCGATGTACTGGGATCGTAAAGTGACGAGTGCTCCCTGAACCATGTTGATCAGAATCAAGATAGGTTCCACGGTTATGAGGCGCGTCGAAGCCCGTTGATAATGGCGATGTCTCTCCTCGTATGTACTCAGCTCATCGTCCTTCACGGCAGTTGACTCCTGTTAAATAAAAATTGGTTAATTCCTTCACTTTATTTGAAAGTGATGAAAGCAAACTCCAATTTGTTTTTTAAATTAAACAAAGCAACTAAACAGTAAAAATAAAACGGTAAAGAAACTGAACAACGAAACAACGTAACTATCCCATTTTTCCCTTAAAAAGGCCCCGGCCTTTTAATATCCATTCAAGCAGTTCAAAAGTGGGGTGTCTCTCTAGTTCTCCAACCATGGTTATAAATTTCTCTTTTTAGATAAATTTGTGTCCTAATTCGGTTTCAGAAAATAGTTCCATTATTTCAAGGAAAAAGATTTCAAGTCAAAATGGATGCAGTCTGTTAGTAATATGAAACATGCCAGGTCTGCACAATGCTTGGGCAAATGTACACCAACTTGCAAAAGCGAAGTCTAAATTTACAAGATCAGAGGGAGAATGCTTTGGCGAGAGTTAACTCCCAACTAAAGGAATAAGCCTCGGCTTCAACTCCAACAAAAGGAGCAGTTCAAACCTCAAAGTTTTACCTGAATCATCATCGGTCGATGACGGTTAACAGATCGCTAAAGTAAAAAGCAGACAGACGGTCGAGAAGAGGTCAGATGCGTCAAACCCACACCAGGAACAAAACTATCCATACACTATAGTTCCTGTTACTTGGCCTTCCTCAAGCTGAACTACCTCGTGACCAGACAACGATTCAATGTTTGAAGTTCAAGTGCCTCTCTGGGACTTTAGTCTATTTGTTCGGTGATTTCAACAACGCACCACCAATCCGTTGCAACATAGAGAGTGCCGTATTTCTCAGGAAATTCAAATAAAAGTGGGTTTATATCTTCTGACGGACTTTACAAAGCTTGAAAGTGTCGTTTTTGTGTTAATTAATTAAGGCAGATCACTGCATACAGCCCGGATAAAAAATGTCTTGACTTGAGGAAAAGGAAAAAACGGGAGACGTATATCACCAAGTGACACGTATTACCCTTACCCGCAGTGTTTAGTTTATGGTGTTCCGACTATACTGTATTTTACAGCGTCGATAGGTTACATAATAAGCTAGGAAGCATTGGTGTTTGGACAAATTCGTTTTATTAGACTGATAATTTTAAGAACAAGCAAAGACAAAATGTTGACCGAATCAGCCGGTTCGGTACTTCAAAAAGAAAGGTCATTCGGGAACAAAAGCACGCGTGCATGTCCACGAATGGCCGAGCCGATTGGCGCGCTTCATTTTGGGCATGCGCTGTTGGAATATCAAACTTCTTCATTATTTTGTTCCGAGTTTTCTGAGTTCTGAGTTCAGAAGTTTTGCAAAAATAACATGTATTTAATAATTTTCCATAGCAGGGAAATGAATATTCCTAAATAGAAAATAATTCAGCACTGTTATAAAAGCATTGACCCTCAAAGAACGTACAGGGACACCGCTGAGTTACGTGCCACTAATATATCAGCGATAACTAGTCCTAAGTTCCCCGGCGTTCGAGCGGCCAACCCACAAACATCAAATCGAGCTGTTCACGAACATAGAAGAAGAACCCACCTACCTGAACTCAGCCCAAACTTATCCACTTCAAATAGCGCCCTCCACACAAGTGACACAATTTTATGACTGGTGTGGAGGTTAAGGAGTCCTTTTCTTTTTCTGTATTGTTTCAGTCGATATTTCTCTTGGCTAAACAATAGTTTGGCCAATATAAATATCAACTACAATTTTAAGAAATATACTTAATTAATATGTTATATGGTTAACATCTTTATAAGTGCGATACTTAAAACTGTCTAACTTAGCTCACATAGGAATGACTGGTCTTGAATTGCGGGAGTTCTATTAATTACGAATGCTGAATTTTATATCACATGTCCTTTGGAATCTTGTGAGCTAAATCCTTCGTACAACAGACAACTCGTAAATCATTCACTGGTTTTATTCCTGTGCTTCAATTAAACTCAGTCTTCATGGCACCGTAATTAAGAACCCTTAAGCTTAGTTCAGAGGAGACGTGAGTTGCCTGTTTCAAGATGGCGTAAATGGCGCAGACTGGTCGCTTTCTAATGTAAAAATGTGGATTCATCAGACATCCCGCTAACTCATGTCGTTGGCGCATTTTCTCAAGTTTTAGTTCCGTCTTAACTGGGATTCACGAAACCTCATTACTTTGATACTGCCTGGCAACGCTAGCGGAATAAAATATACAGAACCCAGACATCCGTAAAATAGCTTATTAAAATTAATACTTCTAATGAGCCCCCATGATGGAAAACTATGTGTGGTTAAATGAGTTTTTCATGATTTCCTAATCAGACAGATTTTATCATCACCATGGTCGCGGTGTGTGGAGATTGTACATAGAAATTGAACACTGACCTTTGAGGAACTGGACACATACGGTTTATATCCAGTAGGTTCAGAAGTGCCCAATGTAATAAGGACGAGGGAGCATGAGGGAAAACAGACAGCTCAGAGAAGTGTCTCTCAAAGAGCAGCAAGATCTCACCCGACAAAAAATGCAAAGTGCGGGCGATGGTTTCCCTCCACGAGTCCGAAGCACTCGCATCAATTTCTACATCACTCTCTAGTTCGAAGTCTGCCTAATTGTTTCACTCACAACCACGTCACTACCAGTCATTTCTCATTGAAAGGTTATCCATCGGGAATTTTTCCACGAAGTGTAATCAGTCCACTCTGTGGTCAAAATAATTTAAAACACTTTCGGATCTTTTGTACACGAACATTGCCCACGGCACGTGCTGATTAAATTATTACGTCAATATCATGAACGTGCCCCCCCTTCAATTTGGAGTACTACAAGGGGCTAAATGTTTGACAGTCTACCTGTTATAAAAAATGTGTTTTTGGACTTGTCACCTGTGCAGAACTGACTCTTTTTTATAAATTGAATAATACGAACGATGCGTTCCTAATCAATGGTGTGCAAAATGTTTGAACATGCAAGTAGAGATGAGATAGCTATGAGGGCGCACTGCACCCCAGCAGAGCTGAGAGAGTACGGCATCAAGGCACGGACGTATATAAAGAAATTTGGACTCGCAATGCCCTTAGCCCTAACCCCCAAGGGTGTATGTAAAATCGTATTAAAAATGGAGGATTTGGGACTGTTAGGGTTGATTTTAGCTTATAGAGATCATTGAATCCACTAGCGGCCATTTTACCGAGCCGAATACAAAGCTTTCCTGGCAATGCCCGCCATTGTTCTTCCTGACGTCAATAGAAGCGAGCCAGCCCGCGCATTTGTATTCAGCTCGGTGAGATGGCCGCTGGTTGGTTTCTGTTTCATACAAAGGCCTTGCAATTCAAGTCCAGGGTTTTTTTTATATACGTCCGTGCATCAAGGGTGCAGTCCACGTCTTATTCAAGCAATAATTTCCGCCAAGCTTATTAGCATTAAAAGTGCCCCTCTGTATCTTTTTTTAAAAGGGGGATTGTTTGGCCCCCAAAATGGTGAGATTGTGTAAATCTGTGCTAGGATCAAGTCCCCGATTCTTTGGGCTTCCATCTGAGGGCAGAAGGGATAAAAAATACGGTTGAAAAATGTTCCCAAGGACCCGAGAAAGTAGAGGGATGCCATCTGTGCTGCGTGCTGACTTCGGAATTTCGACTTTGGGGGTGGTGGTTTTGTTTTGGGTGAAAAATAAAAAATGTAATTGGTTAACCCCCCGAAAATTGAAAAGAAAGTGAAAGATTAATGACCAAATAACAATTAATTTTGGGTGGAAGATACCCCAGGGATATTGGTTTGCATGTTATTGAGCTTCGACCAATGGTGATTTTACACTGTTTCCAACGAGGCCTGAATTAGTGGACTGTACCCATCCATATGAAGCAAACGATGGGACAGACGGATCCCCCCCCCGCCTTTGTGTTGGCCATAGTTATAGGCCCTACTGGTAACTCATTAATTCTTTCCAGACATCTTATAGGGGGGATGTATTAAGTAACAATAGGCTGGAGTGTGTATAGGGATGGGACTTGTTGGGGAGGGGTACCCCTCTGTCCCATTTCATGCCTGGTATATACCCATAAGCTTCAGATTTTGTTTAACAATATGGCTGCTCACCTGTGTACAGTAAGTAGCGTAATAATTGTATACCAACTGGTCGTGTGCACTGGCGCAAACACCTGCCACTTTGTTTCTAGCAGTATATTATGTGACACTCATACACGGCTCTATCTGCACCCAGCGAACGAGATTAGACATAGAAAGGGCGCCATTCGTTGCGCATCTATCTGCCACGTACGTACGTACACGCGGAATCGATTATTTTTCAAGTGACATTCCAATGAGCTCCCAACAAAAATACATGTACCTTACGAGCGCCTCGTAACGGTCGTGGAGACAGCAAAAGCTATTAATCGATTGTTCATTTGCCGAGGCATGTATCATGGAGCCATAGCTAAACACATCATCAACAGATGTACTTACTGTAAAAGTGGAGTAGTTCGTAGATCGTGGCATAATCGCCTGGTCTCTGTGTTCATGTATAGCAATAATCAACCCGTTCTGTACTCAGACACAAGTGGTTGTCATTGACATCGAAAAGCTGCGGGAAAACTCTACTACTCGACAGCCAAGTCAAAGGATCTTGGTCACCTGATCGCTCATCTGGATGAGTTCCGGATATCGCTGCCACATACTGAGCGCTAGTTACAACAGTCCACTTTACAAAAGAACAATTCGACTTTGTGAAGCTTTAATCCATGGTAAAGCCTTGACAGAACAAGAAATGGCCTTGCCGTTCACTGGACAGCTGTGCATGTTCGTGGCTAATGAGGAATACCAAGTTCTAGTAACCAGGAAATAAAAAAGAAACCATGCACCAGAGTTGTAGATCTTCGGTCACAAGTCAGTCCGCAAGTCAACTCATAGGGCATTTCACAAGTCAATGCGGAACTAAAGATATGAACAATAACAAAGGAATGCCTTTAATCGTCACATTCATTTGAATAGCTTTCGAGTTGACTTGTAGGTGAATGACATGTGACTTACTTGTGGCTTGTGGTAACCTGCAGTGACTTGTGACTGAATCGATCAACTCTGCCATGCACAAACCAGACATTTTGACCTTACTCAGCACATACGCAAGGTAAGGTGAGCAAATGACGACTGCTGTGCGCACTGAGAACCCGTCGGCGACAAAAGCTGGGGAAAAAAATAAACTGCATTGTTTTTGTCCCTCCCTCTTTCTGTCTTTTACTGATTGGCCAAAGCATAAAACAAACAAAGTAGAAAAGAAACATGAAAATTAAGGTAAATGGGAAGTATATAAATAATTGGAAAAACTGTAAAAGAAGTTCAACCCACGTAAAAGGAGGGAATTTGAGTTTGGAATTTACATCCACAGAAATAAAACTTAGTACAAGGAAAAACAAGTCAAAAATTGTTTTGGTGGACAACACCAAACAGGAATTCAAATTTCCCAATTTTAATAGGATTCTTCAAGTTGAGGGTCTGATTGATAAAACAGGAGGTCTGAAGAGATCGGCGAAACACACTCACACTCTTAACATGAATCGAAGTTGCAGGATATTTACTACAAAAAGTACAGTTTCGGGAATCTCTTCATCCAATTAAATAAAAAAGTCATTGAAAGCAAATGGCCGCGTGAAACGTCTCAAAATAAAGAGCTCTATGTCGGCTTTCAATTCTACATTTAAATGAGTGGATCACCTCGAAATCTGGATCGTCTAAATTCGTATTTAAAGCACTATACTAACCCGGGTCTGAGAACCAGACTAGTCGACAATCTGACAGGCTCGAAGTAAGTAGGCAGCAATGGAGACTACAGGTGGTTGATTTGGATTAGAGAGGGTCAGTCCGATCCAATGCCCGATGGTGGAAATCGGAATCTGATCCGAATAATAAAAAATGAGAGTTTAAACACTGAATTGTGACATTTCGCCAAACACGGCCTCCCCACCGGAGTCTAATTATGATATTAAAACGTAAACGCATACGACACAAGGGTTGTAAGTGGTAACCGTGTGGGGACTCGGGAGCAGCAACAGCAGACGGGTTCTTGCATTTTAAGCAAGTCGAAAACAAAGTCGGAGTTTGTTGGATTACGGGACAGTTGATCAATCTGATCCAATATTACAGTAGAAATCCGATGAGAGCAATCCGACTGGCCACGTTCAATCCGATCCGATCCCAGGAAGCCTTAATTCGTAGCAGCTATGGGGGCGCTCTGTGATTGTAACCACTGACTTGGTGGGGCATGCCACCCCGAATAGCCCAAAGTTTCATGTCTGAGACTGTTCACTTTATAAAAACATGTGGCCGACAGAAATCATATCTAAATTACGGACAAATAGTGAAAAAAAAGTTTGTTTACATCTGGCGCGGCAAGTGTTTGGAGTTTGCGTCTCATGCGTGTTTTCCGGTGCGAAAGTGAAAGCCATCCATTACTGAGCCATCGAACTAGTTTCCCGTCAAATAAGATTAATGCTGCAGACACATGTAATGCATGAGATAAATGTAACGCAGGAGACACAATGTAATGCTGGAACAACAGTCAAGAGGTTAATGACTGTACAAGCTGTGACGGTCGCGGGTGCTAAAGCCCGGGCAGACACGAGTACTTTTCACAGTATTTCGTGAACCAGAAAAGTGAAGTTCCTACCAAAGGAGCCTCCTTTGCTAGGAAAGTCACGATTCTCTTGGTCCAGTGCGGGGCTCATTGCTTTAAGCTGAGACTCCACTACAAAAAGGTACTCATTAATGGAAAACGATTGGCATTAATAATTTGTGAATGGCAATTGGAAACGCAGTCAATATGTTATCCTTTTAAATGTTGCTTTCTGTAAAGGGCGAATCCTGTTGCTGCGAGTGTTCGCAAAGTCCAGTAAATTACGGGTTCGAGGTTCGTGGCCTGCCGACTCAGAGGCCTCCCTTGTATGGTTTGCTCGACCCCTTTTGGTTTATGAACTGCCAGGCAAGGAGGAAAATAATGTGGTGGGCCGGGAAACCCGAGTGCTTAGAAGAGTCCTACATGAAGGTTGGTAACTGGGATTAATAGCGAGTTTCAGGAGTCTGTGCGTCAGACTGCTTGGTCAATGCCACAAAACCTTTTCAAGTTTCCCTCAGCACATTTCTTTTTATCCTGAGTCGGTGCTGAACCCTCCACGAATTTTTCTGAGGTTTGCATACAGTGAGTTATATTGCCGATGTTCTGCATCTGTGTGCAATGTCTCATCCAGCGACGGGAAGAAATATCTCATCACCGTTCAGGACTCAGGCTCAGGTTTTAGAGAAGACAGAAAGTTTTTAAATAGTAAGAGGGTAGCCGACGGGTCAGGGGTCACTCTTCGATCGGCTTAGTCTTCATTTCCGGTTTAGCCTGATGTTTTTACCGCTTATTTGAAATTGTATAGCTCTTTGATGTGCCATATCTTGCCACTGGAACAGAGAAAAAAGTGCTATCGACCCAAAGAAAGACTGACATTTTTTTTTCATTTAATTTGAGCATTTCTGGCTTGCAGTTAAGTAGTTTCGACATCAGAGACGAAGCCTAGAATATCGGCCGCCGTGAAACTTTTATTGGCGCATGCACCGGAAAAGTCTCATCACGTGCACGTATATTTTAGGGGTGCCTAGATTCATGAAGTAACCGGTACGCATGGGATGTCCGTCTTGGTACTATGTCTATTCGTACAGCTGTTTAATACATTATTGCTTACTGGTACCTATCCTCTTTGTCAAGCTGGCTTCACTTGATTTTAAACCCCCCCCCCCATTTTGAGGCTGCCAGAACTCTAGTGTACGTGTTATTTAAAAAAATATCGACGAAAGCTATCTTATTGGATCACAATTCGACCAATGCAGACCTGCAAGTGGTTTCGAATATTTATAGAGATGCGCCCTCGGGAGGAAAATACTCTCAAGTGGTGGGCAAGGACGATGACAGCCAGCCCTTAATTCCGGTTCGTTGGAGAACAAGGGGCGGCGTTCAACTGTGGGCCAACAATAGGCTTTCCATGTATGCCTACCATCAGTAAAAAGGATCGCCTGGATAGGCCAACAGAGTACGCCATGAGACTTGCACCATAGATGAACTACAAGCTCCAAAGGTCGAGTTTGCAATAGCGCAATGTCATCGGCAAATCTGTGTTGTAGGTGTGTGTGTCAGTGCACTTCTCTACACGTCATAGGCTGTTTTCAGTTTCGCCGTGTCTTGTCTGGCATTTATTTGTGTCCTATAAGGTCACTTACTAATTCCCAAATGGGCCTAACAAAATATTTACTTCTTGGCGTGGTTGTTGGCTACGTTGGATTCCTCCTCGTTGACAGATTTGATCCAGGTACAGAAAGACGTTAAATGTTGTCGATATTTGCACGATTAGTCGATAGGCTGCCATCAGCCAGTAACCTTTTCATGCTCATTCACAGTTGTGAAAAACTGTTTCAAAAAATGGAAGGACAGTTGCAAATTTTCCGCAGAATCGACGGATCGCGCTGAGCAATCAGGCCATAGTGCAAATTTGCCGATCTCGCCCGACAGTATCTACAACCATTATTCGCTGCCAGTGGGTTGCAGTTTATGGCCATGAGTACTCTTAGTACCCAGGAGTGCGAATTGTGAAACCCTCTTGAAGCATTTAGTCATGATCCGAGGATGGTACTCGCAACTAAATATATAGGCTTAGATGTAGTTACTATAGGGCTGTAAAGCGATCTTTTTGGACATAACTGGAAGATGGCTAAAATCAGCCGGTCATATCCAAGTGTTACGAAAGTCAATGTGTGTTGTTGTCAGGGTGCAGACCACTAATTCAAGTGAGAATTTCTGACCAGCTCATAGCATTAAAAGTGCCCCCACAGTATCTTTTGAAAAAGGAGATTGTTTGGCCCCCAAAATGGTGAGATTGTGTAAATCGTTGTCAGGATCAACTCCCTGGGTCTTTGAGCTTTCATATGAGGGCAGAAGGGCTGAAAACTACGGTTGAAAAATGGTCCTAAGTGCCCGAGAGAGTTGACTGAGGGTTGCCACTTGAAAAATGGCTGCAATCAGATTTCGGAAAAATCACTTTTTGGGGGGTGATTTTGTTTTGTGGGAATAATTAAAAATGTAATTGGTTAACCCACAAAAAGAT